CTGGCGAGGGGCCACGGCGCGGCGCTGAACCGCGCGTGCTCCGGCCACGACAGCCGCCGCTTCCGAAGAGGGCCCCTGCCAACCCAACCCCGAGCGGCCAACGGCACTCTCGAGGACCCCAGGCGCTTTAGCCGCAGGCCCGTCGCCACGGGGCGCCCCCGCGGGGCCTCGAGGGCCGCAGGTGGGGGCAGGAGGGTTTCACAGGGTATTCCGCGGAGCTCTCCCGAGGGTACGTCCTGGCAAAACTGTCGAGGCGAGTCCAGCCGTGGCGACGAGGGCCTCCCCGGAGGCCCCAAAAGGGAGCGCTCCGCGGACCTCTGCCGGAGTGCGCTCCGACCATAGCTTCGGAGGCGAGTCTGGCCGTGGCGACGAGAGCCTCCCAGGAGGCCCACAACAGGTGCAGCGGCATCGGCACCTCTTCCCGCTCTGCGCTCGTGCCCTCTGTCGCCTCGTCGTTGGCTCCCCACTCGGCGCTCTCGTCGTCGTCGTCGTCCTCCTCCTCCTCCTCCTCGTCGTCCTCGTCGTCGTCGTCGTCCCCGTCGTTCCCCGAATCTTGATGTGCGTTCCCGCTCCATGTTCCTCTTCCTTCTCGGAGCAGGCCCCCTTGGCCCGCCGCCTCCCCGTTTCGGTGGCAACTCATGGGAGCCATTTTTATGGCGCCTGCGACTCGACGCTAAACGATACTCATCGACGCTAGTTGACGCTATCAAAGCTAAACGACGCGAATCGATGATGAATCTGCACTTTCTCATCGACTGCCGAACGCTGGCGGACGCCACTGCACTCGAAAGACGGAAGCGCAAAAACGTGCAAGACTCCCATGAGTTGCTACCGAAGCCTCCCCAGGCCTGCCCGCGCGCTGCCGCAGTCCGGGAAACCAAAAGGCACCGATGCCGCTACTCCCCAGACCTCTCCAAGGGTGCGTTCTGACCAGAATTTCGAAGCGAATCCAGCAGCGGCGACTCGGGAGGCCCAAAAAAGGGAACGAGGCAACGGTAGCAGCATCGGTGCCTTTACCTCCGACGAATTGCTACCGAAGCCCCCCTGCAGCCTGCCCACGCGCTGCCGCAGGGCGGCACGGCCGAGCTGGCGCCCATGGCGCGGGGCGCTCTGACGCAGCGGGCAGACGGGCCAATGCGCCGCGCTCCTGCGAGGAGAGGCGACGACGACGACGACAACGACGAAGACGACAACGACGACGACGACGACGACGACGACGGCGGCGACGACGACAACGACGACGACGACGACGACGACGACGACGACGACGACGACGACGACGGCGGCGGCGGCGGCGGCGGCGCCGGCGACGGCGACGGCATCGACGGCGGCGACGACGACGGCGACGGCGATGACAACGACAGCGGCGACGACGGCGGCGACCACGGCAGCGACGGCAGCGGCGGCGACGGCGGCGGCGACGGCGACAACGACGACGACGACGACGACGACGACGACGACGACGACGACGGCGACGACGACGACGACGGCGACGACGACGACGACGCGGCAACGGCGGCGACGACAAAGACGACGGCGAAAGCGACGACGGCAACGACGACGACGACGATAATGACGACGGCGACAACGAGTGGGGGATCGTCGCGCTCGCTCCCACCACTCGTTTGGGCACTTGGCAAACTGAGAGAGAACGGGATCTCTCGTTCCAACACCGCGTCTTGCCGCCTTGCTGCTCCTTACGCAACGTCTGTCCCATCATTTCCTCTCTCTCTCGCTATCTCTCTCTCTCTCTCTCTCTCGCTTTCTCTCTCTCTCTCTCTCTCTTTCTCTCTCTCTCTCTCTCTCTCTCTCTATCTCTCTCTTTCTCTCTCTATCGCTCTCTCTCTCTCTCTCTCTCTCTCTCTCTCTCTCTCTCTCTCCTCTCTCTCTCTCTCTCTCTCTCTCTCCCTCTGTCATATTTCTCTCACGTTCTGCCTATCTCTCTCTCTCTCTCTCTCTCTCTCTCTTCCTCTCTCATTGTCATTACCTCTGTATCCCTCGCTCTCTCTCTCTCTCTGCCTCTCTCTGTCTCCCTCTCTCTCTCTCTCTCACTCTGGATCTCTCTATATCGTTATCTCTCTCTCTCTTTCTCTCTCTCTCTCTCTCTTTCTCTCTCTCTCTCTCTCTCTCTCTCTCTCTCTCTCTCTCTCTCTCTCTCTCTCTCTCTCTCTCTCTCTCTCTCTCTTTCTATTTATAAGTATATATATGTCTATATATCTACATGTTTGTCATCTTTCCCTCTACATATGTATACATACATGTACATATACGTGTGTATATATACACACGTTGGTGTAGTCATCTCTTTATCTCTCTCTCTCTCTCTTGTTCTCTTCTCCCTATATCACTGTCTGTGTCCGTCTGTATCCCACTATTTATCTCTCTCTCTCTCTCGTTATGTTCCGTGTTCTCTCTCTGTCTCTCTCTCGTTCTCGCGTTCTCTTTTCTCTCTCTCTCTCTCTCTCTTTCTCTCGCTCTCTCCCCTTGTCTACATATATTTACGCGTGGACACAGGGGAAAGAAAGGGAGGAAACCTAAGGAGGAGAAAAAGGAAAAAGATGATCGAACCGATCCTACTG